TTTTTTTTTTTTTTTTTTTTTTTGACTCCTTGCGAGGCCGCGGTGGTGACAGCACCCCACACCAGCGCTCAGGGGTTTGGGGTAGAGAGGCTTGGGCGAGCAGTCGCACCACTTGGGAAGAGTCGTGCCACGCTGAGGGTGACATCGGTCCCGCCACGCTCTGCGCTGTGACCTCGGACACGGTCGTGGCATGTGGGGTTTTGCTGCCTTCCCACACCCAGCACCACCGGGGCCTCCGGGTTGTGGGGGGACCCTGGCTGCTGGGTCTGCGTCTGCTGGCGCTCACGGGCCACTGGACCCCGGTGCTGGGCTGGGTGGGTAAATGCCAAACCGGGCAACCTCACCTGTTCGCCCTGCTGGGCCAGGCGGGGAGGAGGGGGGCTGATCCTGCGCTGCCGGGGCAGGGCTGGCTGCAGGGCAGGGAAATCCTGCGGGATCTCTGTCCTGGAGAGGGTTTGCTGGAGATGGAATCCTTCCCATGCATGGGCCCAGGGCCAGACCTGTGAAATGCTCATCCCAGGGGATGCTCCACACATTTCCTGGAACAGGATCTTCATAATATGTCAGGAGGTGACTTCAGAGTCCCATAGCCAGGCTTGTTCACAGGGATTACGGCTGCTCCTACAGATCCTCTCCCCACCCGCAGTTTGCGATTCTGCCTCCCACTCCAGGCCAGCCCTAACATCTTCCCTGCACCTGGACGCTTTCCTTTAGAGAAAAGTCAGGAGGAGCGGTGAGCATGGCCCAAGGACACACAGGAACACTGTCAGAGACCTTTAAGGAGCAGAGATGAGTGTGAACTGAGAAACAGCTGAGGCAAAGGTCTTTTATTAGGGAAGGTCGGCAGGTTCCAGGAAGGCTGATTCTTTGCTTGGTATGAGCTCCTTAATAAAGATAAGGTTCCTGTGCCATCTTGGATGTGTTGCTAAATCCACATCCTAGATGCTGTCTGCTGCTTTTAACCCTTTGCAGCCTCCTACAAGAGCAAAAAGTCAGGGTCTAGCTGAATCTTTTAGCAGCTGCTGAGAATTAAGACACTGCTTCCAGTAACCTGCAGCTTCCCCCAAGCCCTCTCTTGAGCCCTGTCTCAAGTCCTGGAGAACCTTGGGCTCTCTTGAAGTGTGTGGATGCCATATCCTCCTTCATGACCCTCCCTGCTCTTTCCCAGCGCTGTATTCTCATAACAAAGGGTGACCAGGGCAAGTCAAAGGGGCATTGGGCTGGGAAGCAGGAGGCATGAGGGTAGCAGCACTCTTGACACTGATGAGGATGGTCCGAGGCACTTTGGCCCCCAGCAGGGACTGGCAGTGAGCTACCTTGGGCACTCACTTGGTTTGCAGGGCGGGATTTTAGGGTGTGCTCCCCGGGGAGCACGTTGGGGACCAGCAGCATGCTGACAGGGATGTACCTGCAGGTCCCAGATGCGAGTGTGTGCAGAAGGGCTGTGGTGTTCGGTGTTGCAAGAGAAGAAAGCCCTACAAGAAACTATATTGAGAAGGAAACTGAAAATGAAAGTTTCTCTTAAATGATGGGCACAGTCACAGCTTGCTGCTTCCTAAAGGCTTGCCAGACGGCAAATGTGAAGATCACATGAGTGAGCTGCTTCTCAAGCACTGGACTCCTGTGCTCACCAGCCATCCTTCACAGTGAGCAGTCACGTCTGCATCAGAAATTCCCCGTTATTCATCGCTGAGGTCTGGGCCACCAGCAGTAGGTTGATGTGAAATACAACTGGTTGCACCTATAGACCAAACTGTAAAAGCTCCAGAGGCGGCTGAACTCTTCGGCTGGATGCGTCCACATCCTCCCCAGCGCTCAGTGCAGCCCCGGCTTGGAGCAGCGTGGACTACAGTAGAAATTCATACTGTTTCGCTCACCCGTGAGCTCCAGAGAGCTACTCTGAGTCGGGTCGTGCTTCCCCTTGAAGACACTGCGGCCTTCCTGTGCAAGGTGGGCTGCAGCTGTAGCCTTGCGAGCGCCCCAGGAGGGGCTGGGGATGGCAGTGGAGGAAGCACGGGAGGGTTTTCTCTGCGGAGGAGGGGACCGGGGCATGTGCATTCGCTCCAGGCTCCCCCTGAGTCGTCTCCAGCGTGTCCCAGAGCTGACAGGAGCAAGGAGAGGGGCGGCTCTGGAGCCTGGGTCTCTGCTAATCTGAGCCAGTTCCCCCCTCAGCTTTACCCTCGCTCCCAACTGCTGATCCTCATCATGTTTTCAGCTTTTCCTTGGACGGGGATGTTTGAGGTTGGGGAGGAAAGGGGAAATCCTGTACTCGGAGGCACGTAGGAAAAAATAGCGTCTCCATCTGTGTGTCACTGTGGCTCCCTGAACACAGCTATGCAAATACACGATGGCTTTCTAAGCCAGGCTGGTAAGCTTTGCATCTCCAGGCCCCCATCCCACCTTGACTGCAGGCTGTGCTTCACGTTACTGCTTACGGTCTCAATTTATTTTTTTCCTCTGAATAATCTTCAGTGTGAGGTTGTAAGCTTAAACCACACATTGCACTTCTAATCTTGACACAGGTGTTTATTTATACATAACCAGCACTTTTTAAAAATGTTTCCCTAGGGTACAGTTTAAACTTCTGGGCGTTGATGTGTCTTCATGAACTTAGACTTGGTGCAAATCAGAAACCCCCCCAGTTAATCCTATAGAAGTCTGGGCTGGGAACATGTACTGGCATGCCAAAGAGCAGGCTGGAGCTGCCACAATCTCTGTAACCCTGATAGTAACTGTGTGGCCTCGCTTCCTTCTCTGCAAAAACCAGGGGCTGAGGTCAGTGCAAGGAGCAGAGGGGTGAGGACGCTGAGGACCGCAGCGAGCCCTAAACCACAGGTCTGGGTTTAGGATACCTGTGAAGTTCGGGCGTTGTATGAGCTGTGCTTTTGCTTCTCCTTTAATTTAATTTTTTATTCTGAGGAGCTTAGAAGACATAAAGAACAGGGGGAATTAGAGCCTCTGGATACAGGAAAACAGAGCTCATCTCTTGTGGAAGTTGTGGAAAACAAGCCAGAGGTGTTTGCCAGGGGAAATCGGCTGCGGGTCCGTGCAGGAGCTCGGCGTGGTCACGGGTCGCTTTGCTCTTGCCGTGCTCGGAACCATCGTGGCTGCAGTCGGGGCAGCAGCAGAGCCCCACGGCTCAGCTCCCAGGCGTGTTCTCGGGGTGCAGCTGGGGGGTCCTAGAGCCTTTCCTCCCCAGCCCTTGCAGGTGCTGCTGTTGTCTGGGCTGGGGGTCTGGTCCCTGGCACTGGCTGAGCAGGTCAGAGCAGAGCCAGAAGGTTTCCAGCGAGTGCAGAAGTGGGGTAGGGAGCTGGGTGACTTTTCCTCTTCTGGCATGTGACTGTCTGTAAACACGTTGCTGAGAAGTGTTAGGAAGAGAGAAATCTAGCCAGTGTGGCCAGGAATCAGGGATTGAGTGTGCGGGGATGGGAGGAGTGAGGTCTCTGGCAGAGATAAAAGCAGGCAGCGCTGCTGCTCTGAGCACTTGGCTCAGCCAAAGGGGCTTCCTGAGGCTGCACCGGGAGGTGTGTGAGGGAGCAAGGGCCCGCGACGCTCCAGTGTCCCTGCTCGCTGCTCATAACCCAGTTCACTCACTGCCTCTTGTCGTTCCAGGTGAAGCTGATACTCCCAAGCATCTCTCTGCAATGGCCTCGGGGAACAACAGTGACCCACCAAGGGCCCATGGACGCCAGGGAAGCAACGGGCGCAGGCTGTCACAAGAGCTCAACTCAGGTAAAAAGGTTGCTGTGATATTTATTTTTTTTTCCCCCACCTCCTGCTGTGTTTCTTTGAAAAGACGGGGTTTTTCATACCTGCAGGGCCCATTGCAAGACTGGGATAACAAACCAGTTCTGTAAAGCTATGCTGAATTCAACCCGGATGCTTTTGGGAGATGCTTGGCGTTGGATTAGTGAGGTGGGCAGCAAGGGGGGGCTTGGAAAACACGGAAAAAATAGTGTGCAGGGAGCTGTCGGGCTGGGGTACGCCGGCAGCTCTGAGCGGGCAGGCTGAGGCAGGCACAGCGGGTGCCAGAGGGGCACAGGGCTTGGGGCAGGTCACCCTGGCTGGTGCCTGCTGTCATTTCCTTTTCCCTTCCCTGAGCACGAGAGAGCAAAAGATGCTCGATGTGGAAAACACAGAGAAAAGCCTTGCTGAGCAGCGCCTGGTCTCGGGCAGTTGGTTTCAGTCTTGCTGCATCGGCTGCTGGCTGAAGTCAGGTCTCCGGTGTGCCTTGGCATAGCAGTGATCAAAACTTAGAGCTCACCAACGTTCAGCAGCAGTTCAGTCCGTTTCTGATGTGTGCCGAGCCCAGCAGACGGTGTAATTGTGTTTCACACTAATGGGTGAAACTGGGAAGGGGGCCGAAAGGAACAGGGAAAAACCTCCGCTGCTGTTCCATCCCAAAAGGATAAAACGCCGCTGCACAGAAAGCTGTCGAACACAGGTGACTTCTTAACCTGTTTTGCAGGCGGACTTGTAAATATGGCTGAGTCACTGCAGCTCTGTCAATAATGGAGATTAGAAGCTGTACCTAACTGTTCATGGGTTTGAGCTCAGATCCAGCGCAGAGCTGGTTTATTGGCCTGATAATGTTATTTATACCCTGGTATTGCCTGGACTTCATCTCGAAGTACCACTCGTGCTAGATCCCCCATGAATACACTAGAAGAAAAAATACCCTGTCCCTCTCTTACTAAAGTCTGCAAGGTACGAAAATAAATAAATAAGAGCACTTGTTTACATATGGTGATTTCCTGTTGAGGCCAATGAGACGCTGACGTCAAAAACAATGAGAGGATCAGGCCCTGAGCTCTAACCACACCGTTTGAAAGTAACGCTTCCCGTAAACTCGCAAACGCTTACTGGCAGCACGGGCATCCTTCCACTTCCCAAAACTCAGGGGCATCTATCTGGAATTTGGAGGCAGGATCTCTGCGTGCCTCTTAGGCAGAAGCCTCGTGGATTCCACCAGAAGCAGAAATATGCAGCTTCCACCGACACATGCTATGGGATCATGTGGTGGAAGAAGGCTTTCGTCAACAGGAATTAAGCCTGGCTTTCATTTAGGGCTTGCTTGCTTTGTTTGTTTATCTTTGGAGGCAGTAGGGAGTGACGAGATTTATCTGCTGCTCAAGGATTTGCTTGAGCATCATTGTGAGCCCTCGTTCTGCCAGGTGTTGCCTAGGGCATGGACAAGATGCTGCTGTTTCTGTCTAGGTGAGGTGGCAGTTTGCATTTCGGGAGTTTTTAGGACATTGTAAACGAAGGCGGGAACTTCATACTCCTGCAAGTATGTGATGAAGAGGAGGAGCAACTTAGCTCATGAATAGTCGTGCAAAGGGGAGCAAACATTGCAGAAGGAGGGGTGGGAGGCCCAGCACCAACGGTGCTGAGCTGAGCTCAGGAAACCAGGCTCATACTTCAGAAAAGTAACCTTGCCCTCCTTCAGCTCTCGGCTGTAGGATGGGGGTGGCAGCGCCTCCCTGCTCAGACGTGCTGCCGGGGGACACACACAGCTACAGGACTGCTTTGGGTAATTTCATCGAGGCTTAGGTCTGTGGGACAAGCCATGGATGTGCAGGTAACTGGTAACCATGCCAAGTGCAACTCAGCCCCTTACACTGCGGAGGGGTTAGTCCACGGGGTGGAAACGTTTTTGTGATCACACTTAGCTCCTGTGTGGACCACGTCAGCTGGAACCCCAAAGCTCTTTGTTGAGAAAGGTGTTGCATTGCTATTACTACTTCTTACTAGGGAAATGGAGAGGGGTGTGATGGAAATCTCTGCAAGGATGTCCAAGGTGTCAGGGTTGTGCCTGGAAAGCCCAGACACCCTGACTCAGTGTGCGGTGTCAGACTGGCAGCTCTTCCTCAGATTACCCGGGCTTTCTCATCTCTCTGTGTGTGTTTAATACTCACGTAACGTACATAAAGGTGTGAGATTGAGTCCCTGGTTGTTTGTCTTCGCTCTGGACTTAACGTTGCATGTGAAGCAAGTCACGAACTGATAAATAGCTGCTTATTGATGTTAGTCATGCGTTTGTAAGCGTCTCCGTGTCTTCATCGCCGAGACCACCTGCAAAATGAGTAGGAAAAATGTGAGCTGCCTGTTTAAGCCTGGGTTCTCATACATCCTGTAGAGCAACCAAAACCATTTAGATAGACTTACGTCTGGTGCCCGTGCGGTTCCTTTCTCCAGCACAGACACATAGTATTTGACTTCCTGCAGCATCTCCCATCAATAGGTGGTTTCCGTTTCTAAAAGAAAAACAAACGGTCATCCTGATGGCTGCGCTGGGAAATAACTCTGCTATGGAATTGCCTTGTGACTCCTTTGTTCTCACCCATCTCGGGCATCCCACTGAGCCCTGGGCCCAGACTCCCTTGGCAGTTCAGTTGATGAGCAAATATGGGACAAATCTTAGCTCGGGCAGCAAAGTACTAGAGCAAAACCTTGCTGCAGCCCCCAGCCCCTGCTGCCTGCCTGTAACTCTGGGTTTGTTGGTGGGACACAATTGAATGTAAGAATTAAAGCACGTTTCTTGAGTCTGATCCAGAACCTGGACCAGATAGAGAATCTTCCTTACTGACAGACAAATTTCTGTCTTAAAACCAAGGTGTGGTTTGCCCATTAGCTCTGCATGGAGGCTCTTTGAGAATAGTGCTCCTCTTTTAGGTGGGAAGATACTTGCTCTAAGAAGCAGAATAAGGGGAAGGGCTTTGTGCTGTGCAGACGCCTCTGGGGTCGGCAGTTTTCCGTTTCCCTGTCTAGAAGCTCTGCTCTCGGGTTCAAGCTGTGCAGGATTGTGCCAGCACGATGCAGTGTCAGGGTGATCCTGGGTGCCGTTGCTATTGACAGGCAATAATTCTCACAAGGGGCTGCCTTACCCAGTGGAAGCTAACCCAAATCCCTAACTGCTCATCCCACACTTGAGTTGCAGCTACCATGAGGTGGAGTTGAGCTTCCCCTCGAGGCAGAAACCTCCAAAGACCATTTGTGGTTCCCCAAAGCTGTTTCCAGGCTGGATATCTCCCTCTGTACATTCAGATGCACCTCTCGGTGTAGTTACTGCCTGTCTCCTGAGCTCGAAGGGGATGCTGCCAGGTTGCATCTGTCATTACTGCAGTCTGTAGCAGGGCTACTGACTTGTAACAAGGTCTGATGGATAACTTTGATGAGACCTGCCAGTTTTCACTGTAGCGCAGCTGCTCTCCGGGAGATGGGAACCGGGAGAAACAAAGGATCTTGCACAGAAACGCAGATGTTGCGTGTTTGGGACTGGCTGGGGCCTGGGCACTGTTGTCTATGGTGTGAATCCAGGCAAGAGGCTGTTGGGGTAGATCTGGTCTAGATACTCAGAGTGCTCTGGGGACTGAGGACGGCGGGGTCGCTGCTCCGTGGAGCAGAAGCGGAGCAGGTTCTCCCTTGGAGCGTGGGGGCTCACAGCAGCTCCTGAGCCCCCTAACACGGCCCTGACGATCCCACATGGAGCCCGAAGATCCCAGAGGAGCTCTAGACCACCGCCCTCCTCTCTGCTGCTGGTACTGGGAGTCCACAAGGCAAATCTTGATCCAGATCATCTTCTTCTGAGTGGAAGAGCCCCAGAGATGGTCCGGTGGGTGCTGTGGGTTAGCACTTGGGGGATGAAGATGTGTGTTTGCTTCTCCTTGTGTTACTCAAAGTAGTGCTTGGGGTGATTAAAACCAGGGATTTTTTTTTTTTTTTTGATCCACTTATTTCCTCTTTTGTTCTCGAAGCGTGTTTACCCTGCCTCTCACTGAAACTGTGAGTCAGTCGGTTTCGTTTTCTGTCTCCCAGTGGAACGCTCACTGGCTCCTTCAAAGGTGGGATTTATTTACCGCCAAATAAAGCCATTCCGGCAAAACAAAAAAAAACAGTCCCCTGAAAACACAGTGACCAGGGCTTGTCATTTCCCTTCACCTTTATTTACCCAACCTGAACTCGGTGTAACCCGAGTCTCTGCACGACAGGTCCTCTCCCTTCCCCACACCCCATCCGGGGCTGGGCCCATCTCCCCAGCGCTGTGTGTGGACCACGTAGACGTGACCAGCTGGAAAAACTCTGCGACAAGTGGCAGGGCATGTTTTGGACACTTGGATACAGGGTTTTATGGAGCAGCGTTGCCAGGACAGCTGTGTCCAGATCCACACATCCCAACTCTGAGACACTGCTCGGGCAGGAGCGTCTCTGCATGGGAAATGCAATTTCCAGTGGCCCGAGAACTGCGCGGCCGGTCTGGTGGGTGGAAATCACAGAATCACGGGGTGCCTGGAAAGGGTTTTAGCTGGGTGGGCTGCAGTGAGCTGCACTGCTGCTAGTCACTGTGTGCTGACCTGCTGCGTGTCACCAGCACGCGCCGCAGGATGATCACCTCAAGCCACTGGTCTGCAGGGTCCGGTAACTCATTTAGGTAGCTCATTTACTGGGCTCAAAGCTGGGCTTTGTGCCTCATCTAATGCCTGTGAATCTCCACCCTGAATGGTGACACCCTGTCCAAGGGGCAGGGCTCTGCTCTGTCCCTACCATTTCTGTCCCCTACAAATTTTACATCTTAGAAAAGAAACTGGGCAGAACTTTGTTACTGGGACCTTAGGCCAGCCCCCCCCGAGCCCCACGGGGTGACTTAGCTGGGACCCAGTGCTCTAGACCAGATTGCTTCTCCAGCCAGCAGAAACCGAGCTCTAATCAAAGACATCCCGTGACAGGCCGGGTACTTTCCCCCGGAGCAATGTAACGTGTGATAAGGTATCGGTCACCATAGTACCTACGGGACTGAAACGCCTCGCCGGGGGCTCCCTGCTCCGGAGGGGGCAAGTCCTGGCCACAGCCAGACCCTTGCCCTTCCCCGCAGCGTGGGCACGGGGCCAGGGAGCTGAGCCGCTTGCAGACAGACGCTTGTTGGCCTCGGTGGTTTCTGACTCGTTTCCTGCTTGCGTTGGAGCCCGGTTAGTTTTCGCGCGCCGTCGGGGCCGGTGACGTTACTGCACGGGCACATTCCCGCGCTGAACCCTGAATACCTGGCGTGCCAAGCCCTGCTTGTTTACAAGAGCAAGGAAAGGAAGCTGTGGCACCCAAAACCAGCCTCAGCTCACCCCCACAACAGCCCTGGCTCACCCCTTGCCCAGCTCCCGAATATTGTATCCAGGGATAATTTTTAGCAAAGTGGGGGATTTGGATGTTCTGGAGCAGGAGCAGCCATTCAGTCAAACTGATCACCCGGCTGTTTATCTGCTTTCAAGCACCAGATGCGGAATCACCTCTCTGAGCTCCAGTTTATGAGTTATCCTAAAGCTCCTCTCCTTTCTGTGTCTGCCAGCAGCCCACATAGAAGTTGCAAACCCTGCCCTGGCAGTGCCACTGCCGGGCTGTGGGTGTATGTGAGACCAGCGATGTGTGGTTGAATCGGTGAGGAATTATCTAAAACGGCCAATTTAACTTTTGCTCACCACGTCACCGCTGATGCCATGCAAGGGCACGACCGTTGGGGACACTAGGAAACAAGATTGTTTGCTGGGGGTCGATGGGCAGCACTAGACTGAGCTTTGCCTCCAGTTTGGGTTTGGATCTGAGATTCCTGAAGCTGTTTGCGCTGAGCAATGCCCTTATCAAGAGGTAAGAGCGAGCGGCCAAGCGCAAGCACTGGAACGTCTGCTTTGTGTTGTGACAGTCCTGTAGCTGTCTCTTGCCAAAAAATGGATTCAAAAGGTGGGCCTGTGCCCCTAAGAACAAAGGCTGGCTTCAAAATTAGTTTTCTGAGAGTTAGATTATGTCGGATTCTTTCTGGTTTACTGCAGAAGGCCAGTGTTGATAGGTACAGCACAAATTTGGGCTGAAAATGAGGGAATGGTTTCTTTCAAACTCGGGGAAAAGGGGGAGACGAGCTTCTCCCTTGACTTTTCTGCCTCTTGTCTCTCTTAGAAGACCAGGTGGCAGAGGAGACGGAGGAGGTGTTTCGGAGTTATGCCTTCTACCGCTACCAACAGGAGAGAGAGGAGAGAGGGGAGGAAATGCCCATGGACCCAGAGATCGCGGAGATCCAGCAGGAGCTGGGCAGGTAAAACTGATACCAACCACCTGCAGGTCCCTAAGCCCCATCCCTAGCCAGGCTCCGTTGCAGAGCCAGCCCTCGGTCCAGCTGACGCTGCTCTCTCTCTGGGCAGCACCGGGAGCCTGGTGGGAAGGCGCTTGGCCATCATCGGCGACGACATTAACGAGCGGTACGACGCGGAGTTTCGCTACATGCTGAAGTCCTTGCAGCCCACCAAGGAGAACGCCTATGAGTACTTCACCAGAATAGCCTCCAGGTAAGGCCACCGGCTCCTCGGCGTGGGCTGGACGCCTTCTCCCGGAGAAGACCAGGGAAGGAAAGGTCAGACAGGGTGCAGTGCAGACAGTTAAACCCTTGCCCCCACCCCGGAGCAGCTGCCCCCCCCCCCAGCTCTGCCCCAGCACACAGGCTCTGTCCGTTCAAGCTTCACCCACCGTCCCTGGGTTGAGCTCCCAACAAGCTCACTGTGACAGTTCTTGTGTTTTCTGCCTGTCTGCTCTTCCTCCTGTGCACTGTTTGGGCAGTCTTCACCTGACTAAACCTCTCACAGTCCTTGCACGAGCTGGCCGGGGTCAGAAGGTTTGGGGAACGTGCCTGGGAAGTGTGACCCGCGCATCAGTAGCCAAGTGACTGTCCCAGCTCCCCTTCAGGGTACAACCAAGGCAGACGTGCTGCCGCTGCCAGTGCTGCTTGCTTGGTAGCTGGGAAGCCCTGAGGAGTCAGGATTTCAGAGGCACAAAGCAAACGCAGCTGCAGGCTGTGGGGATGGGCAGGTACTCGCTGCCCTTGGCGTGGTCCACGGGGAACGGGGTCTGACTAGCTCAGCATGGGGGATGCTCCACAGGCTCGCAGAGCCAGCAGCCATCTCGCGCAGGTGATGCGCACCCAGCTCACCCACTCACAGCACAGCAGCAGGGTGAAGAGCGAAGGCAAACGCCCCGACAACTTATTGCCCCGATTGCTTGAGGTACAGGCTTGGATCGAGGCGGCTGTCAAGGCGTTCGGTCCTCACCCCTCTCTGGAGAGAAACCAAGACACTCTGCATGTTAAACGGTTTGCCAGGGACACGCAGAAGACCCTTGGCAGAGGCAGGAGAGAAGCCGGGGTCTCCTCTGGGGTCCCAGGCTCCCGTTGCTCCTCCGAGCACGCCTGGCCCCGTCCCAGCCCCATCCCTGTGTCCCCTCTGCTCGGTGTCTGTTGTCTAACTGCCTCTCTTCTGTCCTTTTCCTGCTCCCCTTGTCCTTGGGAAGCCACGCCGCGCTGTTTTCACCACTTTGCCAGCCTGAGGCGGTTAACGCACCGCAAACAGGTAAATTAACCTCTGTCCCTCTCTTTATGCTGCCTGTGTTTCTCTGTTGTTTCTTCCTGAGCTCTAACTTTTCTCT